CAGCTCAATGTACTGTCTTGTGTCACACTGGCCACACTCCACCTGATTTCGCAACCCAGATCGCTTGCAACACAGGGAAAGACCCGTGGATGAACAACTATCAAGAACGGGAAAAGGACCGTGCATCTCACTGTGGGCAGCTTTGATCTAAGCCCCTGCAACCAGGGCATCCAGTGACTTCTACGGTGCTGCCATGCAAATGCCAAGAACCACTGCCATCAACTGCAAAGAAGATGCAAGCTGCCCTTACGACCCGTGCCCTGCACCAGTCTGTGGCACAAGGAAAGACCCGTGGCCATATTGCCCACAGCATGTACACGGGGCTTGACTTGTGAGCAGTAGTCTTGACAGCGTTAAGGGGGCATCCTCCGACCGCAGAAGTACATGAGAAGCCCAGCTCAATGTACTGCCTTGTGTCACATCCACACTCCGCCTGATTTCGCAACCCAGCTCGTTTGCAACACAGGGAAAGACCCGTGGATGAACAACTGTCAAGAACGGGAAAAGGACCGTGCATCTCACTGTGGGCAGCTTTGATCTAAGCCCCTGCAACCACATCCAGGGACTTCTATGGTGCTGCCATGCAAATGCCAAGAACCACTTCCATCAACTGCAAAGAAGATGCAAGCTGCCCTTACGACCCGTGCCCTGCACCAGTATGTGGCACAAGGAAAGACCCGTGGCCATATTGCCCACTGCATGTACACGGGGCTTGACTTGTGAGCAGTAGTCTTGACAGCGTTAAGGGGGCATCCTCCGACCGCAGAAGTACATGAGAAGCCCAGCTCAATGTACTGCCTCGTGTCACACTGGCCACACTCCGCCTGATTTCGCGACCCAGCTCGTTTGCAACACAGGGAAAGACCCGTGGATGAACAACTATCAAGAACGGGAAAACACCAATCTGTGACAAGTTTCAACGACCCAGAAGGCTTGTCTTGGCTTCACGTCTGCTGAGACAACTTGGGGCCGCGCTTCCTCAAAACACGGTGAAGGGGCTGCCTGAGCGGCTGAGCGTGAGCACTGCAAGAAACCCAGAGAGAACATGGCAGCCGGAAGGCCTCAGGTGCTTCTGAGGATTTTCAATGAAAAAGTTGTTCACCTCGGACATCTTGTCGAGGACCTGGAGCGATGTGCGAACCACTCCGGACCGTGCCCACAAGTGGTCTCCCAGCAATCCACCAACCCCATCAAGGCTTCGCATGCAAGGGACTTCCGGTTTGTGCACAGATTGAGCCCTTCCAGTGAGAGTGCTTTTCAAATCATGACGCCCTCGGAAGGATTGCGAAACGTCGATTCCTGCATCAGAAGGAAGCTATACCGAGCTGCCAAGGGGGCAAGCGTGCAGTCGACGCACTCCTTCATTCATACGTCCGTTCCTTCGTTCATTCGCTGGTTGGCTCATTCATTCCTTAACGCCTCAACTCCCTGCTTCCTTCATTCCTCCATTCCTTCAATCCATCCATCCATCCATCCATCCATCCATCCATCCGTAAAGGGTTGGGCTTGGCTCGGATGGGTGTCTGTCATTCTCCCTGTAGATGAACGTCAACATCTATGTACGTATGCATTTATTTATATCTTTTTACCTATGCATTATATTGATATTTCTATATGCATATATATATATATATATAACACCTTGAAATGACTATCAGGAACATCAAAGTACGAACAAGAAACGATTTGTGTAAATAGTATGCTTGATTTTGGTATAGTCTTGTGTCCGCACATCGTCTCCATCGTGGTGTCCATTATCGAACAGTATCGCAACAAGACCTCGACTGGCCTAGAAATCGTTTTGCCGTCCCCAAGCCTCCGAGACAATGTAGTCTCTCCAGTGGCGTTCCAAAATCACCGCCACATCCTGGACGACAAGGTAAGACCCTTACCGCAAAACTCAGCAAAGCTGCGCTCCACGTGTCGAGCACCTCGCCTTGCGATGCTCCTCCATGTGATGGATGAAGTCGCTTGGAACGAAAGAGCGCCACCTGGGGTCCACAGCCTTAGCACATGAGTTTGTTGCCGGCTTTCTTTCAAGCCCACCTGGGGTCCAAGCTGCACCGTTCGGACCTGCAGCTTTGGGTCTTCTCACTCCATGATCCAAGCTGCATGCTGCTTTACCGCTGCCCTGCTCCGCCTCGGGCTGCGCCCTTGTCCCCGACTTTTCCGCAGCGCGTGGTGTCCAGGATCCGGTGGCGATGGATCTCAACAGGACTTGCACCGGTCAGGGCTCTTTGCGCTGTTTCTTCGTAGAACGATATAAGAATGGACAGGGAAGTGACAGCCCCCTGCCTCTTCGCCAAAACGACGCCAGACGGCCATGGTCACGATCTCGGGCAACGTGGGCGAAAAAAAGACGATTCGCCGGCAGAAGACCGAAACGCTCTGCATATGCTTTCACTGGATAGCACTTCCGGTGCGACTGTGCATCATCATGGTAGAGCTGCACACATCTCCCCGTATAGCGAAACGAAAGACCTAGCTCGCCACATTCGGCTGAGCACGTTGGCCCGAACGGTGATCGAATCTGCGCGCTGCTCGCTTCTGCCCAGCAGGAGCTGTCTGCTACACCCGTACGCGCAGCTGGCAGCAGCTGTGGGTCTCGTGAACACGTTCTGCACAAGATGCCAGGGCGGAGGGCCCGCCGTCGCCCCTGACTGGCGCCAGGGCTTCTGCGCAAGGGTCTGTGCGGGACTCTGCATCTCGGGGCTCTCCAAGGCTCAGCAAAGCTCGTTACGGCTCAGGGCAACTGCACAGCTCACTTCTCGTGGCAGGTCTTCTCAGAGGCGGCTTTGGACTCGGAGATCTGTGGACGACGAACCTTCCACCTTCGCTGTACTTCACACTGCAAAGCATCACAGGAACCGCCCCCCAAACACCGAAAGCAGCATGTCCCTTGGGAGCTGGCATAAGGAGCAGGGCAACTGCCAGCGCCACGGCCTGCAGGGATTAAGCCGGTTCGCCAACTTTGGTAATGCCTTGTAACGTGAGAGTCTGCAAGCCGGGAGCCTGTACGATCAAGCCCATGCCAAATGCCGGACGCCAGCACGTGGTGCCGTGGCAAAAGCTGCCTCCAGGCTGTTTTAAGTTGGCTTCGGGAGCAGCTTGACGAGTACTGAGGGAAATTCTGCACTGCAGACTGGTACCAGGTGCCTTCGCCCTGCAGCTCAGCCTGAGTATCGTAGAGACCTCCCACCTGCTCGGCCACTGGCCCGCCAGGGCACGGCACGTGATCAGGTACCGCAGAGCCCTCAATCTGAATGCTCTGTGTTTCCGCTCGCACTCCCCACCGCGTAGGATGTCACCAGCACGGCCACCGCGATGTGGCCACTGTGGATGTTAAACATCACACCAACCTGATGATTCGAGTTTCAGCACTTGCCAGGCGAAGTGGACCCAGAACTGGCAGCAGGTGGCTCCCGTGCTTTGCTGCAGCCAAGGATCGTGCGAACCGTAAAACCGCTTGGATATGTATGACGGCATGATCGCCTTGGATTCGCGTGTTTCAGTCGATTCAGTGCTTTTGTTGTCCTAAATCCTTGTTAAACCTGACAAAAACCTCTCCCTCAGTGAGGCACCCAATTGGAGCCATATGCCGCAGCAATCACTGCCAACGCCGGCAGAAGCATTGCAGGGACTATCTGCACACGGCATGAGACGGAGGTTGAGGTCATACATCTGCTGCCTGGAGCGCTCTTCACACAGCTCCGCCTCCTCCGGCAGCAAGAAAAGAGCAACAGAGGCCAGAATGACGGCAAAAGCACTCAGGAGGAGATGGTCCGACCGATGGATGCCTCGTCACGACAGAGCTTGCCCAATTGTCATCTTCATCGCTGCACTGCGGCGCTCTCCATGGCCTCGTGGCTCCAATGTGTCCATGGCCAGACCACTGAAGATACGACCCAGAGAGTTGCAGTACGACCTTCTGGACAGGAACGCGAAGCAAGACGTTCTGGCATTGATACTGCTGCCGGCTTTCCACTATCTGTTTCAGCTTCGCGACACGGTGCGAACATAAACTGGGCGACTGTCTGGTGAGATACCCAGCGAGTCCCCGATCCTGCAGCAAAGACAGGCTGGTGACACATGCTCACATTACCATTACCATGGTAAGAAGCAGCATGCGCGGAAGACCTAGACCTATCACCACCTGAGAGCCTGAAGCTATCCGGATTACAGGCCCCCATGCCACGCCGCCTTCATATCCGCTTACCTGAATATATGCAATTTACCATGTACCGGCTCCCGGTGAAGCTGTTCACCTGACTTTCCTGCATGTTCGCTCAAAGCAGCCACTCTTGCTTCAGGTGTGAGGTTTTGCAAGCAACTCGGAGCTTTGAGGCCGCCGGACGTTTTGGGCTCAAGTCCGATCCTTTCTTGGAGTTTAGACAGATCAAGAAAAAGCCCAGGAGCAGCGAGAGATTGGCGATGTAGAGGCCAGAGCCAATGCTTTGGACCAGGACAAACGGCAGCAGAAACAGCCAGAAATCAGCTCGGCACCTTGGCAACAGTTGGCAGGTAAACGAAGAGACTAGCATACTGCATACTTGTCCAAGAACATGCAAGAGCTTGACGAAACAGTGCGGTTGGTTACAACGGCTGCCAGATTGTAAGTTGCATTGTGGACTTGGAAGCAGGGAATTTGCTGCTGGTTGAAGCACAGTGTCCAAGCCCTAGGGCCCTAGGGTTTAATTTCAAGCTTTGTGGCGTCTCAGGAGGCTTGAGGGCATCTGAGATGTCGTGGTTGGAAAATCCTTTCCACGAAACTGTTATACAAGCTTCTGGGTTCGATGCGTACTTAGGGCTTGAGGTTTCTCAACTCTGCTTGTCCAGCTTTTAGGACATTCTTTTATTGTCGCCGGGATTCGGAATCTGTTGTTTCTTTGGACTCGCTTGCTAGCTTCTTGGCATCCTTGTGTCCTTCTTTCCCTCGTTGACTCCTTCCTGGCTCGCTTTTCTTACCGAGAAATGTGACGAAACATGCTAAAACTCACACTGATCAGAAGGAAACACCACGAGAAGTGGATGCCTCATGGTTCTTCAGTTAGACCTACAGACCTAGAGCCTAGACACGCAGCAGTCCCTTAAGTGCAGCACAAGATATCGCGGCGGCTCAGTGATGGTGAAGAAGATGCAGGAGCAGGAGCGGCTTCCGGAAGCTCCTCTTGCTCTTGGCGCCCATACCTGACAAAGTAGAAGACATCACACAGGGATGCATCGATCGAGAGAAAGACACAGGAGTGTCAACGACACATTTCATCAACATCGCAGATGGCGAAACTTGATTGCAGCTGGTCACGTTGTTGCTGGTGGTGGTGAACGTCCCCCAGCCTTTCAAAGGCAGAGCGAGGTTCTGCATCCATCCACTGCAAGACGGTCGAGCGTGCACGCCTCGTCCTTGTGTTCTAAGCGGCCATAGGCTGTTGCACGAGACCCACCACGAAGCAGCCTTACCAGAGCAATTGCTTTTGTACCCTGATCGACGTAGAGATCCCTAGGTACGTGCTGCTGACCAGGTCTTGCTGCATGCATCCTGGGCACGGCATAGTGCAAGCTGCCACCAGGCCAGTGGCAGAGAAAAGCAATGCAGTTCCCTTGAAGTAGGCATCCAGGTCCTGCAGCTTCAAGTCTCATTAGACCAGGATTGAACTGCGTCCATGGAGGGTGTGGGGGTCTGGGGGTGTGCGGTGTGTCTTTGTGACGTTTTGCTGCGGCTCTTTCACGAAAGATCAAGTAAATGTCGAATCTGGTCGAAATTTCAGAGGCACAGCAGTGGTCAATGTTCGACTTAGAACTAAAGCATCCGGAAACTATGCAAAATAACAGCCAACAAATTACGAAGTAGCAGTGTGCCGTTTCGACACACAGCATATAATCCTCAAAAACAGATCCTGATACACACTCATGCCGCAAACAACAGGATCTAATTTTCTGTCTACTGAATTCATTAAGGTTGCTTTTGCTGACTTGCATGTACACAGTTCGCCGGAGATGGATGTTTCTGCAAGCGACTGGGGCAGCGGCTGTCAGAACTCGTAACTCTCAAAGCTGGGCTGTAGATCAGCTTCTTTCAGATATGTCCCATGTTGGTATCATCCTAGTCGCCTTTACAGTGTCGTAGAAGGTCTGCCAGCCGTATTTCCAAAGAGTCCCATGTCTGGTCCCTGGCATAAGCACCCGGATCCAAAGAGAAAGCCGTGATCTCGAGGCCCGATGAGCTCCACAGCTCCCCAGTGTCCTCCTGAAAGAACGCGAAGAGGAAGGTGACGAAGGCAGCAGAGAGGCCGTAGCCCGAGGAAACGATGCCGGTGATAACGCCCTGAGCACTGAGATATTGCTAGTCTTAACTGCTAGTATAAGTACTCTTTTTGTTTACTACAAGTATCATGACGACTATAACTATTATCATGTTTAAGGACAAGATGGCCCACGTTGGACTAGACATGATTGTAGCCTCGATGGCGCTTGCCAATTGCAGAAAAGGACGTCAACAACTTTCCGAATCTCCTTGCCGGGCACCTGCATCTTTGGCGGGGCTTCCACGATGTTCGTGAAGAGGCCGGCTTGAAAAATTGCCACGGAGCCCTGTGCCAGCAAACAAGCAAGCCGCTCCACTACAAGTCTTAACATCTCCTGTATCGCACGATCCCGTTGCCCATTGACGGCATGTCGACTCTCATTAATGGAAGCTTCGGATTGAGGGCTAGGCGGCCAGGGCCCCCGGCAAGTGTCGTAGCGATAACGTTGCATGGTTTCCAAGCATGTGGGGTCGGGCGTGGCTTCTGCTCCTACTGTGTGAACGCATGCTGCATGCAAAAGCGCCACTCATCAAACCTGCATCAGCCTTTCGCATGTGAGTAGTTTCGCTCGCACGCCTTCATACTATTGCGCTAACAGAAGCAGAACAATAGCCGGAGATTGATTAAGCTTGCTTGTCCACGGTCGGACGGGTGCATGGATTGCGGTCTTTAAGAACTTCTACTGGCTCGCCTTTGGGATCTACCGCAGGTGTTTTCACTGTAGCAGAAGCATCTAATCGCACACGCCGCCGTCGCAGAGGCAAGTCGCGCACAAGTCCGCAGTCCAGGTGCAAAGAGGGGTCAGTGAGCTGAGTGTCCGCCCAAGCCCAGGTGCAAGAGGGTGAAAGCTGTGTGAGGATGTTGGAAAAGCAGACAGCTTCACGAGTGGATCCCGGAGCAAAAATCCTCCGAGGTGCGCGCCTGCTGCACCAGGAAGTACCATGTGGCCAATGAAGAGACACCTCCGCATTGATCGCCACTGAGCATGCTGGCGAGGCCAAGGTTCCCGGCGGCTGTGAAGGCTGCACCTCAGACTCATGCGCTCAGAATCCCACGATCTCAAACTAGGCCCTAGCCGGGGGAGCCACCATAAAGGCTTGTCCCCACCGGGCCATAGAGATCGAAGAGCGTGCCCGGGACGATGCCCAAACCCACACCGGCCTTGCAGATTCGTCTCAGTTCGTAGCAACGAAGACTTGAAGCTTGTTACGGTAAGTCCCACATCCTGCCTGGCCGGCCGCATAGACGACATCCAGTTGCTGCGCCGTCAGACTACATCTGGTCATGATCTGCACCTCGAACCTGAAGATCGGCTTGTAAGGGAAGGATGGCGCGCCATTTGAGGATAGACGTACAGGGGTCCGGTAGACGAAGCCCACTGTCAAGCTCTTGTAGCGGCAATCCTCACAACTGGACCCCACCAACCTGGAGAAGGCATAGAGGCTGCCACCACATAGCGCCATCCAGGTTCCCAGAAGCAAGCGAAGCACCTGTCTGCATTCATTCAGCAGCGACATCAATAATCACGGTAAGCCCACCCGCTTAGCCTCCCTGGTCTTCGAAACAGCTCGTATTTGCCATGGTCGTACGAGTTGAATCATTGCCAAGGACTTCATCAGTCTATTCATATCAACCACATACACCTAGCTGATAATATCCACAGCTTTTGAGAAAACACGGCAAGGCCAGCATCATTCGCCCGAGGAGCCACAGAAAACGATGTATATACAGTGACAAACTGATGGGTACTTTCAGCAACGACTACAATTGAAGCACCACGACGAATACTGAGAAGGTTCATCGAGTTCAGTATGAAGTAAACATGCCCGTTCTGATATCGACAGCAAGCAAGCGGGGTATATCAAATATTCATGTTGCGAAGCTTTTCGCCATATGCTTACAGACTCGCACTCACGATGCTAAATATCAACGAAATGTATGCACTGAGCTTAGTTGCCGCAGTAATATGACCAACCATGCTGATCATGTGGAGTCACAGCAGCTAACCGGTGTTGGTGAGGCTAATCACGCTGTTGCACCCGACGAGAGGACTGACAGAAGGATAGCGCGGACTTACCTTAACCTTCCATCATTTACATCTGCCGCAACACGGTACTTGTCCTGGCAATGGTAGAAACAGCGATACTTGCTTCAAATGGGTCGAGGAAAACAGTAGGCCACGCAGTCATTAATTGTAACATGGCGTGGTTCAGAATATGGACTCCTGTTTGCCAGAAAAATGCGCTACCTTCTCAGATTCTGATGTCTCTAAGCCTTAAACTTGAGGTGGTAGGCAACTATTCGACACAAGTGTATCAAGGGCTGCTATCGCCCGCACCCACTACAAATGACAAACTGCATGCCTCAAAACCACGCCTGCTATTTATCCTGTGGCTGAGCAGGCTTGTGGAAACATTAAAACCTTTCGAACCTGCTAAACACGACACTGCAAAGCCTAAAAATTGCAATGCGGCCCTGCCAAGTGCAGGTTCTTTCATGACTCATGACGATGTCAGAACTCCAACAAATGGGTGGCGATTCCTAACAAGGAATGGTGAAATACTCGTCGCCATGAATATAACCACCATCAGCATTACCACTGTGATATCACCGCCATCATCAGAAACGACCGCAAAAAATACAGTAACCACAGCACGGAGTCAACCGACAAGAACACTGGCCACCACTAGCCAAGTTGAGAGAGTATGACAACCACAACAGAGTATTTGTGTTGACAAAAACACTGCTAATCAGGCGGCGAACCTGCTTGCAGGTGGCACCATTCTCCTTCAGCCATGCGGCAACCTGTGCTTTGCAAACAGGGACGGCCACTAAATCCTGCGTCGGGAAGCCAAGACATCCCTTGCTCAGAGGCTTGTCTGGGTCCACTCTCTAATAACATCCTGCAAAACCCCCAGCTTGCCAGCGAGTTGGCCTGTTCCCTGCTCGGCACCTTTTACCGGCAGTGCGCAGAGACATCTCTCTTGCTTGGAGAAAGAGACCACCCCTCAGACGGCCGATCGATCGACGAAATCTACATTTGGCACGTACTGCACAGGCCGTTCTCGTCTGTGCACGGAAGATTGAGCAGGTGCTGTACTTTCGCCGAACACCCTCCTGAAGCAGAACAAAGCAATTGCCATGGCCACCAAGAATATCAACACGACGCCCGCTCCGAGAAGCTCGGAGTGATCGTTTGCAGATTGGATCCACTGGAAGAACCAGCTTTGCAGGTTTGCCCTTTCGGCCAAAAAACCCAGCATCTCTATCAGCCCAACGAGAATAGCGACCAAGCCTGAGGTCACGGTGACGAACAAATTGAAGTAGATCTTCTTCTTGTCATCCTCGCAGTTACGTGTGCGAGCAGCGACTGTCGAGGACCGCAAGCTCACAAACAGTGCTCTTAACAAAACACTCTAGTCCTCCACGGATGTGCGATAAATCCATGCCATCATCAAGCCATTCAGGGTGTCAAGGAGACACATTCCGGACATGAAAAGCAAGGGCAGAAGCAAGATGCAGATGGGTGCAGCGAGGCCATGTGACACGGCTACCACACCCAATAGCCCCACCTCCGTGGATGTGTCAAAGCCAAGTCCGAATAAGAATCCGACAATCAACATGTGCCACGGTTTAGAAATTGCTTGGAACAGTCGCGGACAACATCTCAACCACAAGCCCATAGTTGCATCATGGCCGTGGTCGCCACCTCGACCCTTCCATTCCATCCAGAGCTGCCGAGCCGTGTACAAGTTGAGGATGCCGAGGGCGAGCAAGAAAGTTGAAGAAATTGCCAGGCCAAACACACTGCCATACGCGTGGAAGGTGCTCAGCATGTTTTTCATGAAACTCTTTGTCAACAAGATGCCGCAGCAGGCAAGCAAGACCACAAGAGAATGCCCAAGAGCAAAGAACCTCGGTCACAGCAACGGTGCAAAGCCTAAGCTCTGCAGATTCGGTCCTCCGGACTACTTCCACACCCTAAGACCACGATCAGCCGGAGAGCATTCCCACTGTGTGCGGGCTGCTCTTCTTGACCGTGAGCTTTCGTGTGATGTTGTCTATTGCAGCCTTGCAAGACACGATGACACGAAGAACCCTTACTGAAAACCACTGGGGAGGGGGAGGAGCACTTGTGATAGCAAACGTCGCAGCGACAGAAGGACCAGACGTGTCGACGGTTCATCAGAAAATGCTGCTCAGCAAAGCAAAGCGGCGATGTGATCCACATCAAACGCATGTCGAAGCCCAAACGAATATGCGAGCAGTCCTGAAGCCACCAATTCCGGTACCAACGTCAAAGTTCCAAACAACACGAGGGTGAGCAGCAGGATCACAACCTTTCTGCATCTGGCTGTGATAAAAATGCACATGACCTACTGCAGGCTGAGCTTTAAGCGGGCAACTTCAATGCAGGACGAGGTGCTACGATCAAAGTTGAGCTTCGTCGTCGTCGACTCTCCGTCCTTCAAGAGTTCAGACTACACCATCGCAGTCCATGACAGAAAAGAGCATTCTAAACCGCAACCGCGGACCCAGAAGAGCTGGATGAGTCGTCCGACGCGACATCGCTCAGGGGCCCCATGGCTCAGGAAGGAAGTGCCAAAGACGGAGGAGCGCTTCTAGGCACGATGCAGGAGCAGAGTGTGGCAAGGTCTTTATCACGACCGTTAAAGTAGGGGCTGACTCTGCAAGCTGATATGCTCTCGTGGATAGCTACCTGGGCCGTTACTTGCTTCGATCTGCATCTGAAGACGGAGCGTTCACGAGCCAAGGCCTGGACTTCACAAGTGCAAACAGAACCGAAATTCTCAGATCCGAGTGGCACCCCACCAATGTCCTGCAACCGGAACTGCCATGGCATCGCCGGAGGGCAGGTTAGCGCCAGAGATGCGGTGAATCAGAGTCGAGCCGCCTAGTGCAGCTGCTGCTGATAGTGACCCGTAGTGGATTACTGATCTACAATTCGGAGGCCTCAGTTTGGAACGCAGTGCAAGACAAATTGCAATCGCCGTCTACAACTACAGTTTGAGCACAACCTCATGCTATCGCGACGACCGGTGCAGGGATCTTCTGCGGTGTCATGCCAAACTGACTCCCCTGGGCTTGCGACATTTACATTTCTGGAAATCGTCGGCTGCTTGACGAGCTGAGCCGCGATCTCCAGAACTCGCTCCTCAGCAGCCTGGCAGAGAAATCTCGGGTGGGCGTTCACGCAGTCTTGCAACACGCTGCAACTACATGTGTCCTGGTGGGCCACCAGACCAAACTGAGGCGGCACAGTCGGCAGGAAGCTCGTTAGCCTCAGCTTGCAGGAAATCGAGAGAGCACCTGGAGCAGAAGTCGGCACGTTGCCAAGCAGCAGGGGTGCGAAGGGCGTGTCATCCCGGACACAGGCATACCTGGCAGCGTGCGGGGTGGGGGGATGTGTATTTCGGCGGTGGGTGTCTTCTCTTGCTCGTTGAACACCACTGGGCGGCAGGCGGAGTTCCCATCTCCAGGATTAGATCGTTCTTCACCTTCGCCTTGGTGCCGAACTGCCGAAGCCCAGACCCGGCACCCCTTTTGACGGCAATCGGGAAGGTGGCGGACATCCGGTCTAATTGCACTTGTGCCGGAGTGTTGGAATGCCTGTCCTGCCCAAAACACAGGCTGCCTGCAGATCTAAAGCTTGGCTGCCAAGAAACAAACTTCATTGAGAGGACGTAGTTCCTGGCAAAGTCGTGGAGATGCGACACAGAAATGGCCTTGAAATGGCCAAAATGACAGGCCGGGGGCCAGGCTCTTCGATCTCTCGGATGAGATCACGAATCTGGCCTTTCTTAGAGGAGCGCTCCCTCCCTTTTCGCAAAAACAAGAGGCGACCCCATGATCGGGCCGGGTCCCGGGCTCACGAAGCTGCCGGCATCCTCAAGGTGACTTCCATGAAGACCTGAGGGCACCGAAAGAGAAGCACCCCAATATCAGCACTTAAAAAAAAAAAGCACACACCTCCCCAAAACACCCTGTTTTTTCTCGCTTCCATGGGCCACTGCCTTGTCGGATGAACCGCTCCTTCTGGTCGCGCAACATAGACGAGACCTCACTGGGCAAACGCTGCAGCGGCCGACCTTCGAGGGTGTTCGTTCCGATTCGTTCCGGTGCCGGTCGACACTTGAGAGTTTTCGTGCACGGCCTGGCATCCGAGCCGTTGTGGTGAACTGTTTCGCTGGTGAAGCTTGAAGCTTGAAAAAGCTTGCAGCATGACACTCTGACTAGCCCCGACGCGGAAGCCGGACAGTCAGAGCAACTTCATCGAAGTTTGACGCCATCTGACTCCATGTCGTCGCTTGAAGCTTGATGGTTGATGTGAGTTGTCTTGCCTTGGCCTGTGGCATCTTGGACGATGCCTTGCTGTGCTAAGCCTGAAGCTGGTGCTTGGGAGATTTCAGAACTTCACGATTCCCGCACAAGGCGTCTTGACAGTCGAAAACCCGAAAAGTGGTATCGAAACAAACCCTTCATTTCTGCGGTTGATGCACGAGCTCGTCCGGCTGGGACTCAATAAACCGGATGAAAGCCTGCCACGAGCGACAGGCATTTCTACATTAAATACGGGCGGTGCCAACTCGAACATGCCACCGCAGCTTCCAGTCCGTCTCTCCGCACCTGCTGCAATTCGCAGTGGGCCTTTTTTGCTCGGCAAGTCTCGACCTCGTGCAGAGCATCCCTTGCAACAGCTCACAGTATGGACCATGACCCCTCAGGCCACTGCCCGCAATGCGAAATTCTGTGCATCTTCCTCGTTGAAGCGCAGTGCAAGTCTCTTCACCTCAATCAGTCAGAACTCAACCGCGGACTGACGCTGCTTTGCTGCACCTGCTTGCGAGATCCATCCTCCAGCTCAACGATGTACCGGGATGAAGCTGCCTTGCCATTCTACAACCACTGCGTTCTGAGAATAAGAAAGCCGTGCATTGACAAGGGATCCAACACGTCAGGCCTCGTAGCCCAAAACCCAACAAGGCAACATTCGCCATTCCTGTGCTGCATAGTGCAGGACAGCGGCCTTCGTCGCGAGGCGCGCCACAGGCATCAGTGCAGCTACAGTCCCACGAGCCTGGGGCTTCCCTGCTGACGGGCCCTGTTTGCAGAGCGCAAGCCACTCCTGCCAGCTGCGCAGCATCTCGTCACGCAGATCTCGCCCTGGGGGTATGGAGCTTGGGAGCTTCGTGCAGGCCTGCGGCGTATGGACCTCGAAGTCCATCGGACTGTCCTTTCTCTTGGCAGAACGCTCCGCTCAAAGACATCGCATCGTCACAGAAGAGACATAGAGAATGCAACCGAGCTGCAAAAGCCTCCAGCGGAAGACCTGCAGTTGCCTCAGGCTCTGACCCCACCAGTCCGAAAACCAGGAAACTGTGACTTCAGGGGCAAGCATCTTCTTCATCCTTCGGTGGCAAGAACTCTCTTCCATCCGCTCCACTGGGGCTGGTTGGCTCCTGGCAAAGGAACACAACTACTCAGCCAAGTTCAAGAGGGGCCATCTCAAGTGGGGCCTTTGGAGGGGCCAGGGAGCGAAGCCACGCATTGAAGTCACCGGCACCCGCCTCAGGGCCACATATGTCATCCCTCTGCAGCCGGTCATGCAATCGCTGTCTCGACTTGCCTCTTAATCTGGAATCCTGTGATTGCACCCCTTGCCTCAGGCGCTCGGTCCGGGTAGCCTTCCTGGCGGTGAGTCACAGGGTCGACTCGAAACGTCCACCAACTTCCCTGAATCGAACGACACTGAGCCGGCAGATGTCCGGTTACGGTTAATAACGAACCTCGTGAGTGCGCCGCCGTGGCGTCAGGTTGCCCGCTGACAAGCTGCGAAGTTGCTGAAACCAACTTCGCAAAATGCTTTTCGTAAGAGCATGCGATTGAAAAATGGGGCTTAGTTGCTTCAGCAGAAGGACTGCATGCCCGTCCTGTGCCCTTGCACTCAGAAACCCGGCAGAGGCCTTCAACCTGGCACAAAATTGGGTGCAAAACCCGCGGCTCGCAACAGACCATGCAAACGAAGGTGTGATCAGCAAAGACAAGGCAGATTTTTGTTGAGCCGGGAGTGAAGTCTAGCCCGTGTCTAAGATAAAAAGGCCCTGCGCTTGAACCTTGACATGGCGCAATCAATTCCCGTAAGCGCCTGTTCGCCGATGGGTCAGGGTCACTTCGAGGAACAGAACGGATCTGTCACAAGCTGCAAAGGCTGGAAAAATCTACAGTGGGGTGATAAGCCAGCACAGACACCAATACGTTGCCATGGCGCACCATTCTGGTTACACTCAAACTCCTGACCCTCTCTCTGCTGAAGGACATGTGTTGACGCCTTGCGGCTGCTACCAGAATGGAGCCCTCCAAGCTTCTCGATTTCGCCAGAAAAATCCGTACCTCGAGCAGGGCATGAAGAAACAATACGCTAAGATGTATAACCTAGTCAGTAATCCCGGTGCAGCAGGCTCTGACAACACTGTGAGGACGGCACGCTTGAAGTTTGGCACGCTGATTTTCAGCCGTGGGCCAACCTGGCATGTGCACCGAAGTTCAACAGCCCAACTGCGGCAAACCACGGGCGATCCTTCGGCTGGTGGGAAGTCATCGCTGCACAACCATCATGCTAGGCGTGCTTCATCTTTTGAAACCATACTCAGTGTGAACGAAAGCACTGACCCTGTCCTGTGAAACTTTCTTCATCAATGCGCTTCTGTCGAAGTTTGATGGGAACTAAAACAAGTTTGCTGAATCTGTTTAAACTCGTCAGCTCAACAATAACTCATTCCGAAGCGGTAATAAACAAAAACATGCAATTACAATAACCATCCCTAATTCAACCGTGGGAACAGAACTAAACTGAACGACAACTCCACTGTAGCTGGACATGGTCCTCTGTGACCAAATATGTTTCGTTGATCAAGTGATGCTGTCTGATGAAGCCATCCAACCAAATATGGTCGAGTTAGCTTTACAAAATCGTTGTGCATCAATTTCTTACACTGCATGCTGTGGCATTGTGGCTTTGCGACGATCTCGGCATTCCACGCGATCTGTTGCCATGTGCTTGCGTCTTTTCAGAATCCCCCATGAATCTTTTAGCCTTCTGAAACAATACAGTCTCTTTGTGTTTGTGGCTAGGTTCAACCCTAGTTTGGCATTTCAAGGTGCTCTACCTTTCTTCTGTTTTCCATGGTGGCCTCCAATGTGGTGCCTGTTGCGCCTGCCGGCTGACCAACACACAAAATAATGTGCGGTTGCCGTCAAATTTTGAAAACTGGGTAGCTTCTCAAAAGCCTCGGCATGTGGCTTGTTTTCTTCTGATGATGCGTGCCACTGTGAAAGACATGTTGATGACTATTGTACCCCCTTTTTGCAAGCGCAGGGCCCAGCGGTAAGTCCCCTATGCAGCGACCCATCACAGACGTTAACGGCTTTTGCCGTTTGTTTTGTTAACAACACGCAAGCAAAAAGGTCCAATTGCTGGCACTCGTCGAGACGCGGCGGTGGAGAGGAGTGTTGTCCATCCAAACAAGGGAGTGCGAGGAATGCTCTTGTCACTTGGAATGGAGAAAAACTCATGGTCGATCTGCGAATGCGGTGATGGCTCATCTGATTGCAAATATTCCAAACTCTTGGAAGCTTCCACTAAACATGATTCTGCCCAATGTGCCTTGGGCCTGCTCACTCGATTGGGTCCTCTTGTGTGGCGACCAGCCGCTGACGGCAAAAAGGTGGTTTGGGTTTCAAGAGATTGGGGTGGCGATACAAATGGCCTAGTGATGTGGGGCGATTTTGGGCAGAATCTAGCTTCGTCAGCTGGGAGGTGAGGAGGAAATGCACAGCATACATGGGATTGACTGCACTACAAAGAGATAAAACAAGAAGTTTCCACCGTGGAGTGGGTTGGAGGTTGCAATTTGAGGCTCTCGGAAAGCAACTTGAACCTCATGTTGGTTCTGGTTGTCCAACGCGAACCTCAGATTGAAACTGGTTGGAGTTCAAGAAAGTTGAATAAGCTTAAAAGAGCCGGAGAAGCTCCTGTGCAGGGAAGAAAAAGAAACGATTGTTTGTCAAAACTGATAACTTAAAGAAAACGTCCAACACACAGAATAACGAAGCCACAAAGTTCATTTTGACAATTCAGAGAGCTGCTTTTCTGCAAAGAATGAAAAGTCATTTTTGAAGTTTGTCTACCTTTCCAACTCTCCGTTCGTTCAAAAGCTCTCATATCGGATAAAATAAATGCAAAAATCCAATTTGCAGTTTAGCACGCACAATGAAGCACGATCAGTTCCGCTGCTTCTAAAACTTGACCAGAAAGACTTCGTTGATGCAAATCCAGCAATCTGACAAGAACCTCAGTGGCAAAAACAAGTACCAGAAGGAAGACTGCAGAAGAAAAAAACAGAAAACAAGGAAGACGAGAGGGTGGCTCTAAGACTGCACGTATGTGAGCCCATAGGCTTCCATAAGCCGTAGTAGCCATTCCAAGCCTTTGCTTGACCATGTTGCATGCAACTGCGAACATGCCAACCCCTGCGTCGTAGCTGCTGCACTTGACTCTCAGATCCAATTCACAAACGAGCTCCTGTCAACTGTCGCTGTCTCCCCAATCGCCTCACACCACACCAGCCAGGTTCAATACGTGCACTGAGGAATTTGCATACGCAGCATGTAGACACCACGCCGCTGACGCGCACAATTTTCGAAGATTCCCATTCTTAGCAGACTCAGAGAACACTTTTTTCCATTCGTTGCGTTCTGTGTTGTGTGTGGTGGTAACACTCCAAAGAAGCAGATTGGAACAAGCACTGCGAAAAATTCGGATAACCAGAGCTGACCAGTGAGACGCCAAAGAATCCACAGAAAAAACTTCTTTCAACGTTCGAAGCATTAATAACTTCAAACATGTGCCTGGGGAAGGATAACTAGCAAAGTAGAAGAAAAGCAACAGGGAGACCAGAATGTAGAAGCAGAACCGCAAGCTCGATGAATGGAGCCCAAAAAGCAAGTAAGTTGCAAGAAGAAGAACTGGTTCGAGAAGCACAAAAGGATAAGCAGCGTCACTCCTCAAGTAGATCTGCCTTGCAGACAAAGATATGTTTTGAGACCCCGTGGACATTGTCACAATCTTCTTCCTCTTGGCCATTTGGCCAGAAGGAAGTTGAGGGAATTTGTGTCCACAATATTCTTTTGAAACGGTTTCTAGTCCTGGAAACTGGAGTTTCTCGGATGCTTCGAAGCTGGGAGGATGAAGGAAGGAAGGCTGAAGCATTCTGAGGGGGAGGACGAGGCTTCAAAGGCTTTGACGAGGACGAAGACTTCCAAGGTTTCCAAGAGTGACGGGCTTCAAAGGCTTCAAAGGGGAGGACGAAGGGGGCAGAGCTTCGAAGGCAAAGACGAGCGAGAACTGGAACGTAACGGAACACGCCGCAACTGGGGAAGGCTGCGCCCCCAACCCCGTCTTGTAAGCAGCCAACCCCCCTTCAACCCAAAGAAACCCACACCAATGACCTGCCAGTGTCCACACAAAAAACGGGAAAGCCACAACGCTCTTGGTGGCTTAAACGGAAAAAAATTGAAAAAGGTTTCAAAGCTGACCTTCCTTTTTAGCTTCCCAGAAGGCTTCCAAGGCTTTGAAGGGTGAGAACGAAGGCTTTTGCTTGAAGCTTTCCAAGGCGGCTGGCGGGTGTGAAGCCGCAATGCAAAGTCACGCAGGAACCTCCAAAGCAACAACCTAAATCCTTGTTGAGACATCACGCGCAAGCGGTTGCGTGGCATGCAGCAAAACGCTGGGATGCGAGAGCAACCTTCTATTAAGGGCTAGTGCAAGACTCAGAATGCTTAAGAGGCTCGCACGCGGCCAACTTCCGCAGGCAGCAGACCTTCACGAGGGGTTTTGTGGATGAAGGGCCTTTATCTTCGTCTCGGCTGCAGAGGCTTTGAAGCGCATGCAAACTGTTGTGTTCAGCAGTACCTGCTGAAAGTCCCTCAGTTGACTTATTGGACTGTGGTGCGAACAGTTTTAGACTTTTGCCGTCGGTTCCGCCTGAATTTGAAAGGCGGGCGACCTCTCAAGTGGTAGACATCACTCCATTTTGCCACTTCCATGGTGCTGTCTTGTCAAGTCCGGTCAAACTACCTCACTGGAGAACCCTCTTAGCTGCCATGCGACCTCTCCAGTGGCGGAACATGTGCCTCAATGGGTATGAATCCCTTCCAGCCGCCCTACACCACCCTTCCAGGCCAGTCCAAACCGGAAACGAAGTCGAGTTCGAACCAATCCAAGTTTGGACTCCAGACTGTCACTTGCAGAGTTGTACACTTGCATTGATCCAGTTGGTTGGCTTTCTTGTGAACTACGGCTTCATTGCAGGAACTCCTGCGAATGGACGCAAATGCAAAGATGCATCAAAGTCTGTTTGCAGTTGCTGGAAGACTATGGGTGTTCGCTCGCGATCAGGACATCGCGCTGCTCTTTTTTTCGACCCCGAAATCTCTTTTTCCAGACCGCGCGATTGGTC